TGGTTCCAAGCCTTTACTATTGTAAATAGTGCTGCAACAAATACACGACACGTAAAGTTTTTAATACTGATTAGCTCATGCACTGTTGTACCCTGATTCAATCATGAACATTTTCCTATGACATTGAAGTAGACTTCACTAGCATGAATTGGAATGGATGCATATTTTTGTCATAGGGAACGCATGATTTAATTTAACCATTATCAAATTAATATTGTCTAGGCCGTTTCAAAAGTTCACTATTACAAATAACCCTGCAATAAATATCATTGGACATTAATAAATTCCTAGAAAAGGTAGTATGATGTTAAGGGCTTTTAGTTCCTAATTTGCTTTCTTGAATGCTTATCAACTTACACTAGCACTAACCATAAATGGAAGTAAACATTACACTTCACTCTCATCAGTGCTGAGAATCGTCATTAAGAAAAGAAAAAAGATGTCAATCTTCTATCTGAAAATGATCTCTCATTACTGTTTAAATTGACTGTTTTTATAACATTAGTGAGATTGGACATTTGTTTTTAATGTGTGTCAGCAACTTTTAAATTTCTTCTTTTATTCATCAATTATTGGATGATGCTGTTTGCCTTTTTTCCCCCTAAGTTTAAATAATTTAAGATCTCTTTGCATATTAAGGAAATTAACCCTTTGCCATACAGTATTTGTTAAGAATTTTGTCTCACTTTTTGTTTTATCTTTTAATCTATTATGTATGTGTATATACACATTTATATACATATGCACACATATATGTATGTACATGGATATTTTTATATAGACAATGCCATTGACATTTTAACTTGCTATTTCTATCAGTACTTTTATACTCTAGGAAGTTTTAACTTGATGTGAATGAAATATTTACCATTTTAAAATCTGCAGGTTGTTTTATAATTTCATCTTTTATATTTAACTAGAATTTACTTGGATTATTGTGCAAATTAGAAATTTCTACTTTCTTCTCAATAGGGTATCAATTATCCAGCACTATTTATTGAATACTTATTTATTTTGTCACAGATTTGTTAAATCCCTTTCATTTAAAAATGAATTCTTATATAGGTCAATATAAAGCTCAGGGCTCCTTTGTTCTATTGTTCTATCTAGTCTTACATCAGTCTGTTATTGTTCTCAAAATAATTGGAGAGATAAAAATCTATTCTAGTATTATAATCTCAGTATTACTTTATTTATAAATACATGTTTAATAATACAAGTACATGACTAGAGGTTTACTTAATTGGAGACACCAGCATTTGACATCAATGACCCGCTATTCTCATAACATCAGCATTTGACATCAATGACCCGCTATTCTCATAAACCATCCTCCTTCTCCCCTCCCATCCCTTCAGAGCCCCCCACCCTACCCAGGTGAAGCTGCCTAAATGTGTGAATTTCAGCCTTGGGTGCGCACTGAAATCGTCTGAGGAGAGGAAAAGATACAGCTGATTGGATCAAGTAGGTCAAGAAAGAATATTGTGAAAAGACAATTTCCGGGTCTTCTTCTTGTTATGTTTTAATATGTCTATGTTAGTTTTATGAAATAAATTGGGTAGACTTTTGAAATATTTTACGCTTTAGAATTTTTAGTAAAGCCTGGGAACTAAAAAAGTTGAAACAAATCATTGTATAATTGACCTTGGAATCTTTTATAGAGATATTTATTTGATGAGTTTTACATTTGTTCCATGGTTCACTTATTTTCTTACTCATTCTTTAGTTTGCTCATTCAACTAATTGAGCCTCTGTTACATAAAAGACATGATGTTAGGACCGAGGTCAAAATGGTAAACAGACCAGGAATACCTTCTGCCATCCTAGGGTATATAATCTAGTGGAGAGATGCATAATGATCCAAAAATAACAAATACGTATGAAATTGCAGTCCAAACAAATACTGCCAGGAAAAGCCAGGGGTTTTGAATTTGGCAGATAAATCAGAGAATGATTGGCTGAGAAAGTGATGCATGAGCTGAGGTATATCTTATGAGGAGTTGATTAGGGAAGAGGAGAGGTAGAAACATCCAGATGGACAAACAAGCATATACAGAAGTCCTGTGGTGGAAGAGAGCAAAGAGGCAGAAGCAATTTAAAGGAAACAGAGTATGGAACCGATGGGGGCTGGGCTTTCTTACGCATTTCTTCCTTTATCCTAAGAGCAAATATATGAAAAGATGTTAAAAGTGAAACAGGGTGTTGTTACTTAGTTTTGCCTTTCTGCACTGTGAAGAACAGATTGGTTAGGGGTGCTGCTTTGCAGAGTGGATGTAAGCAAACTATTTGGAAGATTATGGACATAATCTAAGCGGCGTGATGGTAGTAACTAGGACTAGATCAAGAGTCTGCAAGCCGTGGCTCCCAGACCAAATCTGGACTCTTACTTGTTTTATAAATAAAGTTTTATAGGAACACAGCCCAGCTCATTCATTTAGTGTCCATGGCTGCTTTCATGTTAGTTACAATGATGAAACCGAGTAGTTGCAACAGAGCCTGTATGACTTGCAAAGCCTAAAATATTTACCATCTGACCTTTTACAGAAAAAGTTTACCAACCCATGGACTGGAGGAGCAATGGTAGAAATGGACAGAACCAGGTGGACTTTGGGGCAGTTATTGGATTAGTGAAGTTTTCCGCTTCTTGTGTCAGTTACAGTCTTGTAATATTTTCTAGGAAAATTATTAATGATATTTTATAATTTAATATTAAATATTATTCTATTCCCATAATTAATTTCCTCAGAATCCGAGTTTGTATGCTTTTTATATGCTAATGTAGATTTGAGTTTTCTGCATTTGATTGATGAAACTGGAAAATACTCTCTGCACTTAATGAGATGTTTCAAAGTATTAGCATGGAAACGATATTAATTTTACAGTTTTTCTTTTTATGTAATAATTTCTACGAATACTTTTCTGACTTTTTGTGGTTAATATATTTTTCTAACTTCTCTAGGTTAATGCTTAGTTTATTTCCATTCCATATTGTTAAATACTAAAACATGTTTAAGGCTGTATACTGTGATTTGAATACTGCTTTGAATACTATCAAATGATTATTTCTTAGTTTATTTTCTTTTAGTAAGAATAAATGCAACTTTATTTAGATTTTATTCTCTTTCAAGTGGTGCACTATATGCTTCATTTCATTTTATTATCATGTGGCTCTGTAAAAGTATCATTATTCCCATTTTACAGGACAGGAAACTTACAGACTTTTGTAGTTTATCCAAATTAGGACAGTTTATTATCTACATTTTGTTTTTCTTCTTGTGGTCAGGATCAATTTGAGTTTGAACCAGTTGGGAGATATTATAATGCTCAAATTTGGGATTTTGGAAATGATGAGAATTTATAAACAATACTCTAAAAGAAGAGCATGACATTCTAACAGTTGCAATAAGTCCAGTGATCCACTTTCCTACCTGGAATGCTACCACTAATTGTTTAAGAGGAAGCAATCAGAAAATGGGAACTTTGTGTCAGATACGGTGATGAATGAAGTTATGGAAGGGGTCACTCAGGAGTGATCTGAGTGCCTGGAAGGTTTTCATGTAGTATGTCTCTGTCTGAATTGAGGTAGGATCTTTTACATCTCTTATGCATCGCTTTCCTGATCATTTGAACTAATCAAACACATTTTTAATCTCTAACATTCATTGCCACCACACGTCTTAAAATTTCTAGCATTAACTGAGGCATTTTTCTTGTTCAGAATACACTTCTTAAGAGTAGATGCGTGACCTCCTGTTTCTTCTTGCCTTGCAATTTCTGTGCATTTTGATCCATGAGTAGATACAGGAACATAGAATGAACTAATAATGTATACAGCATGAAGGAGTTGAAGGTAATAGGATTGGGCAGTCATGGGGCTACTTCAAAATATATCATCTGTACCATAGCCTGCCATGTTTCTACCTGGTCTGAATACTGATGGAGGGAAAAAGTTTGGGTGGGAAAATAGTGGAGTACAGATTGAGGTTTTTTTTTTTTTTTTACCTTTTAAGAGACAGGGGTCTCACTCTGCATACAGGTAAGAGTGCAATGATGTGAACAAGCTCACTGCAGTCTTGAACTCCTAGGCTCCTGCAATTCTCCTGCCTCAGCCTCCTGAGTAGCTACGACTACTTGCATGTGCCTCCACGCCTAGTAAATTGTTTGTTTGTTTTAATTAGCGTGTAAGTCTTTTACCTCCCTGGTTAAATTCATTCCAAAGTATTTTATTTTTACTTTTTGTAGCTATTATAAATGGGATGTTTTTCTTGATTTCTGTTTCAGATAGTTTGCTATTAGTGTATAGAAATGCTACTAATTTTTGTGTATTGATTATTGTATTAGTCTGTTCTCACATTGCTATGAAGAACTACCTGAGACTGGGTAATTTATAAAGAAAAGAAGTTTAATTGACTCACAGTTCCACAGGCTGTACAGGAAGCATGACTGGGGAGGCCTCAGGAAGCTTACAATTTTGGCAGAAGGTGAAGGGGAAGCAGGCACATCTTATATGGCCAGAGAAAGAGGAAGAGAGCAAAGGGAGAGGTGCTACACACTTTTAAAAAAACCCTGATCTCGTGAGAACTCACTCACTATCATGAGAACAGCAAGGAGGAAATCTGCCCCCAAGATTCAATCACCTCCCACCAGGCCCCTCCTCCAGTGTTCAGGATTACAATTCAACATGGGATTTGGGCGGGGACAAAAATTCAAACCATGTCAATTATATATCCTGTAACTTTACTGAATTCATTTATTAATTCCAGCAGCTTTTTTTGCTGGAGTCCTCTTCCTCTTCCTCTTCCTCCTCCTTCTCCTTCTCCTTCTCCTTCTTCTTCTTCTTCTTTTGACAGAGTCTCATTCTGTTACCCAGGCCGGAGAGTAGTGGTGCAATCTTGGCTCACTGGAATCTCCACTTCCAGGGTTCAAGCGATTCTTCTGCCTCAGTCTCCTGAGTAGCTGGGGTTACAGGCATGCACCACCACGCCTGGCTAAACTTTGTATTATTACTGCTTTAATCTCTTTACTTATATTGGTCTGTTCAGATTTTCTATCTAATCATGATTCAGTTTTGATAGGTTGTCTAGGAATTCCTTGATGTGTCTGGGAATTTGTCCATTTCTTCTAGGTTGGGTTCTGTCTCCCTATATTCTTTTAGACTGTTGAGTTTTCTATGGAATAAAAGTTACATTAGCTACCAACAATGATCTTTACAGTTGGAATTAGGATGTTTAGTACTATAGTCAGAAAATAATTTTATAATATCTCCTTATTATCACATTCTTAACTCTCTGACTTTTTTTTCTTTCTCACAGAATAAGGCAGGGATTATCTGCCAGCCACCAGGCTACAATGGAAACCAAACAGTTTTCTTGACTGGTAAAGACCTTAGACTCTGAAATGGCCAATGGCTGCTCCATAGAGACCTACTTGCCTTATTTTTGTTTCTGTGTATATTACACATTTTGCTCATCACATGCCAGGAACACATTATTCAAATGCCACAGTATAACTTATGGAATGACTAAAAATGACAAAATGGATTAAATCTTAAGACCCTGTAGTTTACTCTCTTTTAAAAATCAGGACACTGAAATTAAAAGGACAAGCTTCCACAGAGGAGTTGGAACTAAAGTCTCGGTCATTTTTACTCAGTGGTGACATTTTTATAGTTCCCTGTCTACACGCAAAGCAATCTTCAAGTTCCCTAACTTCAGTCTCCTAACTTCACTGCAAGTACCTGCAATCTTCAAGTTCCTTAATCCCCATTGCAAGTACTCTGCAATCTTCTGTTCCCTAACTCACGCAAGTACTCTGCAATCTCAAGTTCTCTAACTTCATTGCAAGTACTCTGCAACTTTCAAGTTCCCAATCCCATTGCAAGTACTCTGCAACTTCAAGTTCCCCAACTCTTACTGCAAGTACCTGCAATCTTCAAGTTCCCTAACTCACTGCAAGTACTCTGCAATCTTCTGTCTCCCTAACTTCTACTGCAAGTGACTCTGCAATCTTCAAGTTCCCTAACTTCACTGCAAGTACTCTGCAATCTTCAAGTTCCCTAACTTCATTGCAAGTACTCTGCAATCTTCAAGTTCCCTAACTTCATTCTTACCCTATTATAGTGGTTAATGTTACATACATGTGAGATCATTTTTACCTCTTTTTAAAATTAGCAAAGTTATTTTGCCAGAGTCACAGATAGAGTTGAGTAAAATTAAGTAGTTCCTGAAAGTTTCCCAGCATCTTTAAATGCCATTATTATGTAAGAAATTTGATTGCTTGATAAGTTAACACTATCAATTCTCAATATTGAAACATGAGAGATTTACCTCCTAAGTTATTGGATACTCCTTTCTGAGGGATATGATGATGGAAAAGGCATTACTCTCTTTAATATCTATTGGTATTTTAGGAACCCTTAAAACCTTGTCTCTTCTATGTCTTAGAAAAATAGTTCCAAGCCTAGAAAAACTGCTTCTTCATTATCCTTTTTACCTGAAGCCAAGAGTATTATCTTTTGTCCCTTGTACCTAAATAGAACCCAGCATCTCTGAAATGTCTATTAAAACCATTCTTTTAAGGCTAGGCACAGTGGCTCACGCCTATAATCCCAGCACTTTGGGAGGCTGAGGTGGGCGGCTCACTTGAGGTCAGGAATTTGAGACCAGCCTGGGAAAAATGGCGAAACCCCATCTCTACTACTACTAAAAATACAAAAATTAGCTGGGCATGCCCGGTAGCACATGTCTATAATCCCAGCTACTCAGGAAGGTGAGGCAGAAGGATCACGGGAGCCCGGGAGGTGGCGGGTTGCAGTGAGACGAGATCACACACTGCACTCCAGCATGGGTGACAGAAAGAGACCCTGTCTCAAAAAAAATAAAGAAAAAAAAGTCATTGTTTTGTGGGAGAAAGCAACAGGAAGTGCAGCCTCCAGGAGACCACTGCTAGAATGCATTTCTTACCTTCACAGGCCTGATTGGCAGCCCTGTGAACTGTGAACCCACCCTCATGCTTCTCCCTTTAAACCATCTGCAGAGGTCAGTCTCTCTAGAGCCTGCCAAGCTGTGAGAAGAGGAGGTCAGGTAAATTCCAGTAGAAGGTGGTAAAAGAGGAGCCAGAAAGGATAAGCCGTGACTGCCCTAGAGGAAGCAGGCAACCTTGGCAAAGATGGAAAGGTCAAGATCATACCCAAAATGAGCCCTACGCCATCAGAGGAGTTTCATAAAGATTACTGTGCTGAAAGTTTGGATTTGGGCCATTCAGGGTAGAAATTATTCTGGGCCATGAGTAAAGGAAAAGATTTCTTACAGGATAAAGAAAGAAAACTGGACGAAAGAAAACCACCTTTCCTTTCCTCCCACCTGTGCTGAGGGCCAGCTCAGGGTTAATGAAAGCTACTGTTAATTGAAGCGATTGTTACCTCTTGCTACCCTTTCTCACCCTTGCCTTTCATACTCCCTCAACTGGCTGTCTATGACTGCATTTCATATCTATGACCTCTGGGACAAACCTCTGAAAGGTTTTTCTGGGTCTTCACCTTCTCATGGGGCCTTTTCTCCTTTCTCGACAGATATCATTCTTAAAATGAGTAAGTTTATAGGCACTAGACAAGTATACACCCACAGTGAGTCAGAGTCTTATTTCCACGACTGCCCCCCTTTTTTCCCTTAGTTGACCCCTCTGACCCTGTTGGAAAAGTTGTGAATCTCCTTCACATTATATTCCTAATGAGGCGATTTACCCTGCATGCTAAATAAGATCATGACTATGTAATACATTCTCCACTCAGAGCTAAGCTTGGAGTCAGCTCTTCAGCGGCTTACGATTAACCTTCACCTTTCAACTGATGAGAACCCTATTGCTGCCCACAGATGGCACATTTTAAAGTTGTCGTGATTAAAGAATCTCAGTAACCTAGAGCTTTTTTACATACACTTTTTAAAAGTATCTGTTTTTAATTCTAATTTAAGGCTGGTTGCAATTGCTTTTTTTTTTTTTTTTTTTTTTTCATGCTGGAAAACAATCTGGAAAAAGCATTTGAACTGGTAAATATCCACGAAGAGTCTTTTTTAACATTCCATGCATATTCAACTAAGAATTTACATACACAAAGAAAAAAAGCCCAACTTTCCAGTTCTTATCTCACAGCCTGACCTGTTTTATGTGTGACAGAAAACTCTCCTTGTCTTCTGAGGAGGGGGAGCCTAGGTATTTGGAAAGCCTTGTTGTTAGGCCAGAGGGGTGCCAGTGGCAAGTTTGGAGATTGGGAGAAAGGACCAAGGTACATTTGTGGAGGATTGAGGGTAGAGTCAGAGGTGAAATTTTGAAGTAAAATGAGATCCACTGGGTAACATGAAACCCTTCCTCCTACTCCTGCACATTGTTTACGGACACCTTGGTGAGTGGATTACTTACCCTGAACTCTGAGAAGTGCTAATCCTGCTCCTCATTTGAAATGGGTTGAAAGAGAGGCAATGTTTGGGCACATCTGTCTGTTTTCTTATGTGTGGAAATGCTCTTGATTTTTAAAATATTGTGTCTACTAAAGCCTGAAATCCCATCAGCAGCATAGTTACCTCTTTGAAGTAATCGTCTTTTCTTTTAAAATGATGAAATACAATCAGAGTGCGTTCTCTGCACCTTTGTGGAAAAGATTTTGTGTTTTCCCTGAGAACTGCTGACAGACTGGTTAAGGGAGATAACAGCTTGGCAAGCAGCCAGCCCCGTTTATACCCTGCCCTGCCAGTCCAGTGAGTGCCTAAATGCCAAAAATATTGGTAATCCAGGCCAGGATATTCTAGGAGAAAAGGGTCTCTGCTTTGGTTTCCCATCATATCCTACCCTTCCCTACATAATTTACCTGAATGCTGCAGCTCCTGCATCTTGGTCTTGAGCAAGCTGAAGAGAGAGGCTGGTGGAGACCCACAGGCGGTGGAGCTTTGGCAAGAATGAGAGAGGCAGGCTGGTGATGCAGGATTCCAGCAGAAATGGGAAGGGAGTGAATGGTAGTAAGAGAAATGACAGAATAGATCTCCAGGGGAAATATATGTATGATGTATATGTGTGTGTGTGTGTTTACAGAGAGAGAGAGAAAGAGAGAGAGAGAGCAGAGCATCATGTGTTCATTCATTACTAATTTATCTGGTGATAATGGAATTACTGTGTGTCCAGCATAGTCCTCAATCTTGACAAAGCCTCTACCTCTGGCAAGAATGGTTACAGACGTGAAACCTGAATGCCAGAAAAAATGAGTGCTAAGAACTCAGATAAAACGTAAACATGCCCAGGGGACTGCAGTCAGCATGGACGGCAGCAGCATGAGGTGTAGCTAACTTCTGAAGCCAACACAATGGCATCACAGTAGCTGCAGCCTGGGAAGCTTCTTCAATTGTCCCTCTCATCGAAAGACTGAGATTTTCTCTAATTTCTCAACAGCCTGGTTGGCCCAGCCTTCTCTCCATCGCTTTACTTTGAAAGATGAAAGCAATTTCCATCCTGCAGAGAAAAGTTTCCATGATTGAGGACACACCCAAGGTAACTGATCCTTTCAGCTGCCTCATTCTGCCATATTTATTCACACGAAAGATGCATTTGGAAAAGGAAAACCTTGAAATGTAGGTTTAAAAATTAACCCTCGAAGTCAAATAGCTCTCAGAAACTACTTACTAAGAACAGTTGAGAGAAATGAAATAGCTATAGAGAAATTTCACAGAGACATTTCATATATATATATATGAGTGCTGCTACACACACACACACATATACACACAGTGCTATTAAGGAAGGCTAGAAAGCATTGATATCTCCTCCCAAATAAAAAAATTAATAGAAAATAAGAACCATGATGTAGAAACTTAGCTCCTTTATGAAGCTGTTACCTGACTGCCAAATACCTCCTCTACTTCTTTCCTGGAGTCTTCCCTTAGGTTCTCTCTTTCCCTTTCTTCCTCTCTCCCTCCCACGCTTTTAAGGATCAGGTGTGCAGAATTTGCTTTAGCCAGTACTAGTTTATGAGTTACTATTGTCATCATCCATTTGTCAGGGCCTCTCTTTTAAGAATCTTTTGAGTTTCCTGTTTTTTTCAATCCCATTTCCAAACCCCCACATAGGCACCTATTTGTGTATTTAATATATTTTGTTGCAATCCACCTGCTACATATTTATTTAGATAATTACAGATGCTTGAAAACTACACAGTGCTATGTGGGCACCTAATTATGCATAGATGGTATTATGCTGTGAGATTTCCCTCTCTCTCTCTGTTTTCCCACTCAACATATGTTTCTGTAATCTATACATGTTTCTGTATGTGCCTCTCACTCATTACTCTTCACTGCCACATAGTATATGACATAAGCCATAATATGCCTCTGACACATCTTGTACTTTGTTCTCCTACCAGTGGGGTACTCTTTGCAACATTTAGCCACACTTCAATACATTTCCCCTCACCTGTGTCTGTTTTGTTGTACAACTTTTTGAATTTTCCTGAGGGATGGACAGACAGGCCTTGCTGGGAGACAGAATATATAAAATACATTATTAATTTCAATAAGTGTCACTCGATTGCTCTTTGGAATGGCTGTACTAGTGCAAATGCCCTGCAAACAAATTGTTTTCACCCTTCCCGTGTAGCAGTAAAATTGTTCAAGTTTCACGATTTTCCAATATAATGAGTGCAGCATGGTGTTCATTTTAAAGGAAGGAATGCCTGAATTCTAATTTAAGATGGGGAACATTTAGTAGTTAATCTCCATTCATAAGAGTTATGAATGCGTGACTGCAGTAAGATGTTACCGCAGTAAGATGTCCGCTGCAGTAAGTTGTTTCACTGTGTCCAAGACTTTACCCTTCCCTGTCTCCACGTCTTTAGCTGTATGACTTTGACGTTCTTTCCACAGAAGGTGATGTATATTTCCTCACCTCACTGATAGTAAGCTAAGTAGAGGTGACAGGCCTGGGCTGAGGCTTCAAGAGCGTTGGGGGCTTCTCCTCACTCTTTTGCACTTCTGCCATCAGCAGGAAGATAATGAAACTCTGGTGGCATAAGAAGATTCTATGGCACCATAATTACCAGAACAAATCATCACAAACACAGTGGCTTAAAACAACAACAATTTATTCTTTACTATTCTGGAGGTCGGAATTCTGAAACGGGTCACACTGGGCTAAAATCAACGTGTCAGGAAGGCTGTGTTCCTTCTTGAGACTCCAGGAGAAGTTGTTTCTCTGCCCTTTCCGGGTTCTAGAGAGTGCCCCATTCAGGTTTGTGACATCTTTGTCTGTCTTAACACCAGCAAAATCAGGCTGTGTTCTTCCCACGCTACCCATTCTCTGCTTCTCCCTCTAGTTCTCTCTGTGTGTCTCCTGCCTCCAACTTTCACTTTGAAGAGCTCCATGATTACAATTGGCCTACCTAAATAATCCAAGATAATTCAAGATAATTTCATCTCAAGTTTACCTCATTAGCAACCTAATTCCTTCTGCAACCTAATTCCCCTGTGCCACATAACCTAACACATGCACAGGTTCTAGGAAGTAGGACATGGACATCGTTGCAGGACCAACGATGTAAGGATGTATTGAGTAGTATTTGGCAGGGATTGACCCTAGTGTCTCTCCTAACCAGACTAATGGCAAAGCCATTGTTATTACTGTTTTGTACAGCTTGCACATCCCTCAAAAGAGTAACATGGTGAATACTACATAATTTGTATTAATAATGACCTATGGGTTAGAATCAAATGTTTTACTAAATTTAAAATAAACTTCATAAAAATAAAAATAAAAACTTAAAAACCGTAAGACACCACTCAATTCAAATAAATTGTATTACAGTTATGTATATGAAAAATGCTTAACATTTTATATGCAATTCTTGTGCACAGTGGTGTCCACTCTAAGTCTGACTCTTTGCATTGACATTTGTATTTGTTGATATTGGCTTTTGTTGATATCGGCATTGGTTAACATTTTAATATTTACTTTGTCATCTCTCATAAAGGACACATATATGATGGGCATACTTAGCCTGTTCATTGATATGGGTATTTTCATCCTATAACTTGTTATAATTTTGTACATAAAAAATGTAAAACTGGAATTATATTATAAATGATAATTAAAATGAGTCACCCATAAAAGTAATCAAATCCTGCTTCCTCTAAACACAAGTAAACATTCGGTTGATTCCTGCCTTATCATATAATTGTTGCGCTTGTCTTTTTCCCTCCTTATCCAGATGAGCTACTTAACAGCCACAGCCCTCCGTCTTTGGAATAACCCTGCCTGCCATCATCGACTGTCCTGAGAGGAAGGCTTTCCTATGAAAGTTGTTTATTGTAGCAGACATGTGCTGCTAGGTCTTTTTTATTAGTGCACGTGCCTGCTCTTCAGCCTGCCTGTGTTCCTGCACCCGTGTTTCCGTGTGTCTGCCCCTCTCCCCACCTTGCCTAACCTTCTGTTCTAGTGTTTGTTTGCATTTTTCCAGGATCCTAGAATTTGATCTGTTGCTTTAACTTGCTTTCCTGTGGCTGAGCTCCACTGGCTCCTTACTGCCTGCTTAGTTTGTCCGCCAGCTTGCCTTACCCTTGGGCTTCAATCTTCGCAATCCTCATAATCTCACTCTGAGCGTAGGGTACCATGCAGCACAATTCTATGTGGTTCATCTGCTCCTGACTTAGCTGAATCTACCTCTTACTGGAGCCCCTTATATTAAAGAGGGTCGATGGCTTTTATAATGAAGGTGATGTCAATACAAATACATTTTAATGGTGTCACAGCCTTTAAACATTAGCAGTCCAGGTTGTTCAAGGACCACTTAAAGTTCTGAAGTTAGTGTGTAAAGTTTCCACAAGTAAAAAATATTTTCATGCTTCTGAATATTTTATGATTTTTGTCCTACATAGAAATACTTGCTATCTTTATTGAAAGGGGTATGTGGAATCAAATATCTGAATAAATTATGTCATATATATACAGCAGCCTTTTGCAAAATGTGGTTCATGTGATGTTTATTGATACTAGATGAATAAAACTAAGATTGTGTTTGCAAAATTTGGGAAATACCGGGGTTTATCAAAGTTAGACAGGTTTCTTTTATGTAGATTTTCTCTGAACCTTTTATATGTTAATTGAATTCTGAATCTTTATGATAAGAGGTAAAGTTTGCAGAATATCACTGAATAGTTTGACTACAGATCCCTTTTATCTATGCAACACATTTTTACATCTCACTGGATACCAGGATCCTGTGGAACATGATTTGGGAAATGCTGCAAGATAGGCTTTCAGGAAACCTTTTAAAGATAAAGTGCACAGATCAAAACAGCTCCCTCTCAGTAAGAGAAATCTGCCTCACTGCAGCCTGAGTTAATATGAATCTGTGAGCCTGAGACAAGAACTCAGCAGGAGAGCTAGATATAGTCAAGAACGATCAAAGGCATGAGAACCAACTGGACATTGCGATTGCTCTCTGGTGGGAAGGCTTACTGCAGGTAACCTTCCTTTTTCTTTTCAAAAGCACAATGCATCCAGACTGTGGAACTCTCTCTACTCTCTCTGCTTTATTCTAACAACAACCATGTGACAGAACAAGTTCCATCCAACCCTCTCTGACATAATGTTCAAATGAGGATGTTTATGGGTTTGAAGCATTACTATTAGTCCACGCTACTTTTGAAGTATAGTCTCTTAAAAGCTCAAATATAAACCGGGCAAGTCTGTAGTCTGCAATTTTCCTTAAGTTTTAATCACAAAAAATAGCCTCAAATTCTTAAAATGAATATGAGGCAGAGTACAAATTTAATACACTAGCAATTGTGTTTCCAGTCCATGTATTTTTCTGTTTCCTGTGAACTTCCAGGTCCAATTCCATTCCACAAATTCCATATCCTATAGCTATTGCCTTAGTGAAAAAAAGTAGGAGAAATAAAAAATCAAAAAAAATTGTTGCCATTTAGACTTAATATCTAGGTTGGGACAAAAAGCGTGGCTCTTGGGCCGGGCGCGGATGCTCACACCTGTAGTTCCAGCACTTTGGAAGACCGAGGCTGGCAGATCACAAGGTCAGGAGATCGAGACCATCCTGACTGGCACAGTGAAACCCCGTCTCTACTGAAAACTACAAAAACAATTAACCAGGCATGGTGGCGGGCGCCTGTGGTCCCAGCTACTCGGGAGGCTGAGGCAGGAGAATGGCGTGAACCCGGGAGGCGGAGCTTGCAGTGAGCCGAGATCGCGCCACTGCATTCCAGCCCGGGCAACAGAACGAGACTCCTTCTAAAAAAAAAGAGAGAGAGAAAAAAAAAAATTGGCTCTTGAAGAATAGCTGTAGATCCTGGCTATCTCGACCATAGTCTTCTAAATGAAGAGTTTACGGAAAGAAGACAAAAGACAGAAGAGCATGTTGTGAGCAGGGATCAGTGATCTAGTCCTAGAGAAGCAGATCTGAATGATAGGAGGAGTAGCAACATCCAGGTACTGTCTGTACCTGAGCAATCAGTCTCCACAGTGCTGAAAACTACATGGAAACCAAGAAATAACCCATAAACTATCACATACGTTTCCATTAGAGGAAATGTGATTGCTTGTACCGAGATGACAAGTTAAACACAGTTTCCATGGCCATTAAAGAAGGCTCTCCCACCATTCTTTGACAGTAGAATCACATTCAATCATAGTGATCCCCATCTATGGACTGAGACTGTGTCTTCCTTCTTATATGAACAACCCATCTTTTAGTACCGCAGGAAACTCAACCCCTTTGGAGACAGAAGGTCTCCAGACACCTAGACAGATAGTAATGATGTAGTAGGGAAAGCCTCTGAGGTCTGTACTTGTGTAGATTGAATAGAGGCAGCTAAGACTCTCCCTAGACCAGATCAAAGCTGAAACACCTAACTTCACCCTGTCTGACAGATCTTCCTGCCTCTTGGCAAACTCAGGCCGATGTTTGGCCAGATAAATAGGTTTCTAAAATACATTAACATATTTCTTGACTGAAGAATCATGCATCTTTAATTGTTTAAAATTTACTTCCAATAAAGTTATAAAGTTTAAAAGTCTCTAGCTTTTGTTGTAAAGTCTACCATGCGGGTGGTTTTCCAAGGTGGCACTTCTCTGGAAGAGTTAGTGCAATGGACCATAATAGAGATACGTTCTTATTTCCAAAGATGTTCTGAAGACCATAACAGTGCCTGCCGGCAGTGGCTTCTCCTTTTAATGGCTTGTTCCACCTTCCAAGTACCCAAACAGCTATGTCTCTCTTCAGTGCAGAACCACAGGGCTTGCCTTATATTTTTGTGAAAAATCTTTAGTGTCTGTGTGAAGTTTCAGAAGCTATTAGTCTCATCGGCTTTAGGCTTCCATTCTCTGTTTGTTTTGTTTTTGTTTTGAGACAGAGTTTTGCTCTTGTCCCCCAGGGTTGAGTGCGATGGTGCGATCTTGGCTCATTGCAACCTACATCTCCTGGGTTCAAGTGATTGTCCTGCCTCAGCCTCCCGAGTAGCTGGGATTACAGGCGCCCACCACCACTCCCAGCTAATTTTTTGTATTTTTAGTGGAGATGGGGTTTCACCATGTTGGCCAGGCTGGTCTTGAACTCCTGACCTCAGGTGATCTGCCCACTTTGGCCTCCCAAAGTGCTGGGATTACAGATAGGAGCCACTGCACCCAGCCTAGGCTTCCATTCTTGCCTCTACAACTAAAACGTTTTACATCTATATAAAGCTTGAAATAATCTCTCTAAGCATATGTCTGGAAGCATTTCCATTTTATTAGAGCAACTGAAGTCCCTAGGATATTTGAAGTGCTTAAACTTTCATCTGGCTTACTGATAATGTCCTATATGCCGGGCATTTGCATTTTTATGTGTATGTTTTTCTTTTTCTACATGATCAACCTTCATTATTAAATCTTCTTTCCAGTCACAGGTGACTTTCCCGGAATAGGAGATGAAAAGCTAAGAAATAAGATTGCATATTCCAACATGATATTTTTGAAA